GGTGAATCGACTTTCAATGTCGATGAACCTTACTTGTTTATAGTATGCGTTGCAACCTTAATTGGCTCTTGCTACAAAAATTAGTTACTTCTACTAACATTAGCTGCATCAAGCGTAACCTTGAAGATCGTGCGACTCTGGGTATTTTTACGAACGAAAAACGTATGAAACATATCATTTTACATTCTCGGACTAAAGTCTTTTCTCCCGTTATCTTTTTATGCTGTCATACTTTGTATCAAATTTATTACTGAGTAAAGATTTGACGTAAGAGTTTTATTAGTGTGATTTGTACACCAAAATGAAATAAAACTTTCATGCCATATCTCTACTCAGTAATAAATTTGATACAAAGTATGACAGCATAAAAAGATAACGGGAGAAAAGACTTTAGTCCGAGACTGTAAAATGATTTGTTTCATACGTTTTCCGTTCGTAAAAATACCCAGAGTCGCACGGTCTTCCAGGTTACGCTTGATGCAGCTAATGTTAGTAGAAGTAACTAATTTTTGTAGCAAGAGCCAATTAAGGTTGCAACGCATACTATAAACATCGAAAAATCAAGATTTTAAACAGAACTTCAGAAAACATCAAATACTGGAGCGTGAGTGGGCGCCTTGTCCCCGCCAGCATCCCACATCCCGATTTTCTGAATTACACTTGAACCCAACAGAATCTGAAATGATCTTAAGAAAACAATTATAAGCCGAATCTGTACTATTCTTTAGAAAAGAAAGATGAACCGAATCGAACTCGAACTGGGCTTTACCGGTTCGATTTGTTCTTTTCTATCAATACATCCTCTACAATTTTGTATTAGACATTACTGTAAACTCATAATAGATGTAAGTAATTGTTGATTATGGCCTATGTAGGAACACTTTTATTTCAAACAGGAATTGTTTTTCAAGTAAAGTTTTATTCAAGTTCAAAGGCGCATCCACTCCTCGTAAACTGAATACCTAGAGCTATATAACATGCTAGAAAGACGATAAAAATTTCAAGATAATTGTTAAGCTTTCCTTGTTGTCGGTGGAAGGGCGGCGCCCTTTCCAGACACCTCCTAGATACACCACTACTTTCTTATTTTCCGAGTACTTTTGAGAACAAAAGAGAAGTTTGGAATCGGTGCACTTATTGCAATCGAACCATAAAGACTTGCAATAGAACAGTAAAAATGTTGTTTTAGATACTTGAGATGGACTCCATGTCTGAAAAATTGGTTTGTGATAAGATAGAAAATAAAATCATGAAAAATAGTCAGGGTTCAATGCTGATCCTCAAGGTAATAAAATTAGGTTCAGCTTTTGCGAGACCTTCGGTCCGTAGGTCGAAATAGCTTTTGACGTATTGGAATGTAATTAATGTATGATGATGAACTAATATATCAATAATTATCAACTACATGCTTTACTTTATCTTATTTTACTTCATCTTACTTTTTTCGATAAAGTAAGAGATACTTTAGTTCATTTTATTTTTCGGGTAAAGTCACTCTACTTTAGTTTATCGAGTAAAGTAAAGTAGGCTAACTTTACACAGTAAAGTCAAATGCTTTAGTTCACTTTACTTTATTAAAGTAAAATAAAATTAAAGTGCCACCCCTACTCAGATTCTTTAAATTTTGGAACACTGCATCCTTTCAGTAGAGGGTTGGCGACGTTTGCGTCGCGTTAACTTGTATTTTGGAACCACAAATTAGTGTACCTCATTTACGACAAGCAAAAATGGATAATTATAGTTTTCAAATATTCATCGAAGAATTAAATAGTAAATATAATATTAAATCAATGGGAAAAATAGAAAATCGTCAAAATAAACGCAATGCTAACCTCAGTATAGCAATTAATAAACCATTTTTGAACGTTGAAATATTGAATCAGGAGAAACTGCAGGCTTCACAGACGCGACTGATGGCACGAAAGTGCGAAGCACGAGGAGCACATCAAGCAGCTCAAATACTAAACGTCATTGCAGAAAAATGCACTCAATTAAACAGTATTCATCAAGCCTTAAATCAAATAAAAATGAATCCAACTCAAGAAAAGGCAACTAAACAATCTGATATTACAGCACCTATTCAACAAATAATTACTTATGAAAGAAAATACGGTACATTAGAGTTTCGTGGTGGTAATGTGACTCAACAACATCTGGAAATATTCGATCAAGCACACAAACAGCAAAGCCAACAATAAAAATTACAATAGGGAAGATACTGGCCGACTTATAATTTATTTATAAATTGAAATTTTGTAGCGAATAAAATGTTTTTTCTTTATGTTTCAACCTTTACATGACTTAATCTATGAACAACAGAAGATCCGAAAATATGACACATTGTAAAAACATCAGGCAAAAGAAAAAAGAAACTGCTTTGCTAACTCATAGTTGAATGGTTTTGGGTATGGTAACAGTTATAGCATCAGCAATTTCCAACGAAGTGCAGTGACTATGCTTAGCTTTTTGAATACCAATATCCTAAATAAAGGACACTTTTTGCAAAGTTTTTAAATTTTGAATAACTCGCGAGCTGACATCAGATCAAAGCGCGATTCTCTTTATGATATACAGAAGGCTTCGAGGCATATATTTATTTAAGAGTTATAACTCTAATGAAGTCACTCAGTTATTGAGTGTGCCGGGTTTTTGGAATATCGTCTCTACTCTAAAAATGAGCAGACTGAATTTCCCGTGTTGGAATATGCTGTACACATATTCAAAATGATTTATCAGTTTGGTAGCGAAAAACAGGATTGATTCTTTCACATATTTAACATGCGTTTATCTGAGAAACATTCTAATCCATAGGTATGTCTGATAAATTTTACTTTTTCAAAAAAAAACAAAAATGACGTTTATTTCGTTTGTCCTCTAACTCATGTGAATGGCTACAGCTGCACGTTTCGATACTCTATGCGCTATTGACATTATGTTTCATTCTGTCGTCACGAATGATAAAAATGATATATGTAGACTTTGAATAATGCGTCATCTTTTTTCCCTCAAGAAAAACCCAAAAAACAAGTATCACATCATATTTATAAGCTCATGAACTATTCAAGTCATATCAATTCGAATTCACACTATTGTTATATCCTTCACAATTGTATTTTCTACACAATAGAAACAAAACCATGCGAGAACAACAAGAAAACAATCATAAGAAACAGTAAGTTAGATCCTATATTATAGACATTTGTCATAACTGTAAAATATGTATTACTTTTTAGAACATTCAATTTAATAGAAGATATCTGTTTCAAACGAATATTTAATGCACTTAGTAATTGGTCAACAGCCGATGTTCGTACAGTGCCTAATGTAATGTATCAACTTCGTTGTGGTAGTGATGAAAATGATGAAACAATTGAATATCAAATCAACTGGTTTATTGATTGTGCTGAAACACACATTCATAATCATCGAAATTCATTTTATACATATTGTTTAGAAGGTGAATATGAAGAAAAAATTTGGAAGATAATTGATGATAATGATGGCACGGTTACTTATCAATTTACCCGAAGTGCAGCTGATAGTATCAGTATGGGTAAACCAATACCTGGTACTCTTCGTCATGTAGATTCTCGATATCATTTTCCTGGTAATAAAATGCATGTTGATACTGAATCATTTCATTCAGTTACGCCGATTATTGATTCAGATCGACGTGTCTTGACATTTTTGATTAAGAAAAAGTATTCAACACCAATCGACACATTTGTACTTAGTTCTGAACCTTATTTCAATGGATTGAATGATGAAATACGATCAGCAACCAATGATGAACGTCATGAAATACATGAAAAACTTGTTCAAGTACTAAGAAAAAGTCAATTGATCTCGAATCATAATATGAACTTTCTACATGAACGCATTACTGGTTAAAGCAATACAAATAGATTACATTTTTTTTAGGCAATATGTCAAAAGAAATCCAATACTCGCAATGAGGATCTTCAGTCTTTTTATTTATTTATTTTTTGTTTATATTTTTGATTCCTATATTTTTGATTCCTATATTTTGAAATTTTATTGCATTAAAAAATAAAACATCTCATGAAATCAAATTCATATTCTTTGAAGACATCCATAAGAATATCTTTTTTTTAGAAATGTAATTATATATTCTTATAGTGATTCTGTAATGTTTTTTGACTGAGACAAAATTTCTTTATCTAAAAACCTCATGGTAACATAAGACGACGATTAATTATTTAGATCATTTATCTGTCTTGTGATCATAATGTTGTTCCTATTTTATTTTTAATAAAATTGCACATAAGCGAAGAAAAATACAAGATAAAATGTTCGTCATACATGTAGATTACAAATAAACAAAAAAAGGGGCTGGGTGTGGGTGTGGGTGTGAATGAGAAAACAACCACACCCACGGAGAAATAGCGTAAAATAAATTCATATTCATCAACATAACAAAATTCCTGCTGTCTCTTTAAAATCTCAAGCAAAAAATGCATTATTTGTTTAGATTCATTCTCCATGGATGGTTCATAATATGCTGCTTTGTTTAGGAGCATGCTGGCCTCCGATTGCGATTTTTTTAAAATATAAGAATCCTTAGAGGATCAATTTTGTCTAAAATATAGGATTTTCGATAAAAAAAACGACAAAAATATAGAATTTTTTATAGATCGTTTCTGTTCATTTGTTTTGGTGTTTTTTAACTTCTCTGCTCGAATAGCGTTTTAATGAAGCTGTTATAAACAGCTCAACCATGATCAAGATTCTTATGTAATTTTTTTCTACTGAAATAAGTCACTAATTCGAGGATCATTATAAAGTTTAATTATAAAACTTTTTCACAAATCAATATATAACAATAAGGGTGTGGGTGTGGCTGTGGGTGTGAGTGTGGAGTGGGTGTGGGTGAGGGTGAGGATGTGGGTCTTTCCTTCATCCACACCCACACCCACCCACACCCACACCCATCCACCCACCCACACCTACACCCATTCACCCACACCACACACTCACACCCACACCCGAAACCACCAAGTTGCATAATAATATGAAATAAGTATGACAAAGCGGAATATTGACGGATTCTGTTAGATTGTATAAGCCACAAAATTCATCAAGATATATCAAACTTCATCATCACTCATCTGGATTTCAATCTCCAGGATTTCCTTCACCTCACCTGCCAGAAATTTCACGACCGATTCTCTGTCTTTTAACTTGGTTTTCAAGGATTCTAATCGATCCACGTGAATTCCAGTAGATCCTGGGATACATCAGAACTCACTCTCTTTCCTTTGTGAATAAGCTTATTCAGAGTTGTAAAACTAGCACATGAAGATCACTTTGACTCATCTAGAACATACTTTGGATTATATATCCTTATTGTATGAGTCTCGTTAATTTTCTTGGATTTTGCGAGTATTCAGAACATTAACCTATGCCGATGGGTCGTATTAAATCCTGATAGATCCTCGTGGATCCTGATGGATCCTAGAATCCACCAGGCATCGCTTTGTCCCTCTTGGGCGTGCGTGTCAATCTTCCTTTCTTTCACATCCACACCCTCCCACACCCCGTACTCACATCCACAGCCACACCCACATGTGCATCTTAGAAGGCTCTTTAACATGTGTAGGTTTCATACAAATTAAGTTTGAGTTTCAATTTTTATAGGAAAAAATAGATGTTGGTAACGCACTCACTTTTTACTGTCCGATAATCTGTTCTTGAGTACCTACTGCTTCATATTATAAATTCTAAATCACAAAAAAGGTTGTTTTTATGAATTTTTGAGCTGTTACGACTTTTTATGATGCAATTTAAACAGTACTACTACAGTAGATCTCTTAAGGTTACTCTATAGGATCCGTTAGAAAAAGAATATCCATACTTACTGCCCATTTCAAAATAAAAGGCGGGTGGGTATTTTTTGAATAACTTTTGATAGGAACAAGGTAGAGAGCTGCGGTTTTCACCATTGGAAAGAGACCTGTCCAGTGCATCGATTCATATTCCCTAGACTGAAAGTATAGGGTCTAGAAACGGAAATTCGCCTGTGTCTGTCTGTCTGTCTGTCTGTAACACGTATGGTTACCATATGGTAACTATGTGATCGTTAAAATAAAAATAAATATATATTTCGAATGGCGCGCAAAGCCAATAAAATAAGATTTTCTTTCTATTCCCAAGACTGAAAGGCTAGCGTCTAGAAACCGAAATTCACCTGTGTCTGTCTGTCTGTCTGTCGGTAACGCAGTCAAAATGGCCATTTTTTTGGCACAC